ACGGGAAAGGGTACTGAGTTGGATAATCAGCTACGATCATATTGACTGGCAGAGCATAGTCAAAGGGCTGAATGGCCTACTCCTGCTCCAATTTTCTATGCAACTTGATTCTAAATCTCAGACAGTGACCTTCCTGTTTTCTCCATCTTAACTAACAGAATAAAGAGATTTTCTGGTATCCAACATCTTTCTTGCAACTAAACTTCTGTCAATGCAACATTGTACAGCATTTAATGAAGGGACATTGCACTAGAAAAAATGAGGAAAGATTGAAACCAAAGTCCTTTAACCCATGTGTTACCCTCAACATACCATTACAGAGAGAATCTATTTTCACTCTTCAAGTGGAGATATTTGTATTTGCCAATTATCCTATTTCTCTTTGCCATTTTCTTTGCCAGACCTTCAGCTGTAACCTAGAACTCTGTTGCTGCTGACATATTAAAAGGCCAGTTGTTCTACATTGGTTACACTAGCTATATTGTGTGTTTCTCTTGTAAATAGGGCACTGAAGATCAGCTGTTTTCTGGTCTAGTTCAGTGGAACAGACTGGTACAGAAAGAATGATGCACATCTGAGTGCCCCCAAGACAAGTCAAAGTATTGATTTTCTTTTCCCAGTTTTGACATGTCAAATGTTTTTGATTCACAATTGCAATTTCCATCCATATACTAGCAATCTACAAAACAAAACAGCCTGCTCACTGCTTTCCAATTTTACGCATCTGTTAAAAACCATGCGGTTTAAATGAACTTGCCTGTCTGAGACCTTGTACATTGCTTTACGGCACTTGCTTCTGTACAGAGTTCTTCGGATCACACACACTTCTCTCCCTCTCCCTCTCCCCCTCTCTCTCTTTCTCTGTCTCTCCCCCTCTCTCCTTTCCCCACCCCTCCCATACAAATGCTGCCAGACTTTCTGATCTTTCCAGAATTTTGTGTTTATATATTGGGCCTATTGTTTGACAGATTCTGTTTACACTGCCTGATCTTCCTTCAGAATTTTTCAATTTCTTTCTCCGCAGTTGGCAATCTCTCTGAATTAGATCATTACTTTAATATTGACCTGCTTCAATTTATGGGTACTGTGTTGTATTGTGAACTTGTACCTCCTGGGAATTGGGCCAAGATTGCCCAAAAATGTTTCAGTCGGTAACTTACAGCCAGAAGAGAGGAGACTTTCAGAAAACAAAATACAGAACTGCGAATGCTGGAAATCTGAAACAAAAGCAAAGTGCTGGAGAAACTCAGCAATTCTGGCAGCATCCCAGGGCAGATGATAATTTATGATATTATCACTAAACTATTAACCTGGGTTTGAATCCCACTGTGCCAGTAGTGAAATTCAAATTCCACTAAAAATTTGGAATGAAGTGTTTAATGACACTTAATGACCATGACACCAGTGTTTGTTTTTAAAAGAAAACATTCTCCTTCATTAATATCCTTGTGAGAAAATACTGCTGTCCTTACCTGTGCCTGCAGACCCAGAGCAATATGAAAACTCTAAACTACTGTCTGGGCAATTGGAGATGGGCTGTAAATGCCGGCCAGCCAGTGATATCCATGTCCTGTGAATGAATAAACAAACAAAAAATCCATTGAGCAAAAAACAAAGCCAGTGCCCCAAGTTCAGTGACCCTTGTCAAAACTTTCACATTGAGAATTAGATTGTGTTTTCCTGTGTTCTTTTCAAACCCAGGCTTCTAAATTTCCCAAATTCCTATCAAATCTGATGGAAGAAATGTGTGCCCTGCTGGCCAGAAGTTTTGTTTCAGCAAATGTTTATTGGTTGGGATGAATGGCAATTAATGTAAAAGATCTAGAATTTAGAAAAGCCATTTTGTGCATCAGGCTGAATCCATTATTCAAGACTAGGTTTGCTTGTATTGTTTTATATTCTTTGTACCTAACTCTTTAATTCACTTCAGTCAAGAATTTGATCCACATATTTTTTAATGCTCAAATAAAGTAACTAGGCCCTAAATTTGCTGCCAATCATTTCAAGCGTTAAGTAAGTTCTGTGCATACTCCTGAATTTAACATTCAGTTAAAATTAGTGAACATCAAGGACAACAAGCATGCGGTAAACCTGTAACAAAATTTTAAGAAGTGTCCATTTCTGAAGAGATTGCAGACAAGGTGGTACAGTTTTTAATTTTTTATATGGGATCTGGATCCTCACAGCGCCAGGAACCCAGGTTTGATTCCGGCCTTGGGCAGCTGTGTGGGGTTTGCACATTCTCCCCGTGTCTGCGTGGGTTTCCTCTGGGTGCTCCAGTTTTCTCCCGCTGTCCAAAGATGTGCAGGTTAGGTGGATTGGCTATGCTAAATTACCCATAGTGTCTAGGGTGGGAAATGCAGAGATAGGGTAAGTAGTGGGAAACGGAGGGATAGGGTAGAGGGTGGGTCAGGGTGGGATGCTTTTCAGAAGGGTAGTGGGGACTCAATGGGCCAAATAGCCTGCTTCTACACTGTAGGGATTCTATGATGACCTGCATCTCTTGCATGTCCCTAATTGTCCTTCACCTGACTGATTTGCTAAGCCATTTCAGAGACCAGATGAAGTTAATCACATTGCTGTCCAGGGTCAGTTGTAGGCCAGACCAGGTAACAGTGACAGATTTGCTGCCTTAAAGTACTTTAGTGAACCAGCTGAGCTTCTATGATAATTGACAATGGTTATATGGTCACCGGTAGGTTAGTCTTTGATTAGTTAATACCAGCTGCATGGTGGGATTGAACCTATGTGTTCAGAGCTTTAGCCTGTGTCTCTGGATTACTAGTCAACTACATCACCATATCCTCCTGTATTTGGATCTTTGTCTGTTCCAAATAAGAATCAGTGGACGTGCTGAGGTTTTTCCCGCAATTTCTGATTATGGTTCTGATTTCCATCATCTACAGTTCTTTTGATTTTTTTTATTTTTGATTTCGAAAGTATTTGTTGAAGTGTCTCATGAGGCTTGCAGCCAAAAAAATTCAGAGATGTGATATCAAAGGATATGTGGCTGTATAGATTAAAAACAAAACATTAGGGTTAACGAGTGTTGTTGGTAGTGTTGCATTTACTGCTGGTCCCACTTGAATAATCTAAATGTAGAAAATTTGAAATTGGAGATGGGGATCTTTGAAATTTGACAGTACTATTGTACAGAGGTAAAATTTCATAATAAAAACGTGTGGCTGAAAACACGCAGATCAGTCAGCACCTAATGGAGAGAAAAACTGAGTGACAGTTTCAGCTCTGTGACCTTTTTGTCAGAACTGAGAAAAAGTAGAACTGTAAATGTAGTGAGGCTATTTTCTATCTTTTTTCAGATTTCCAACACCTGCAGTGTTTTGCTTTTACTTTAAAATTTTCATCTTTGTTTTCAAATTCCTCTGAGGCCTTGCTCTTCCCTACCAAAAGCCGCCTTCAGCTTTATAAGCTTCAGAGATTTTTATCTTGACCTCTTCCCCACCTCAACCCCCCAAGCCCAGTTTCAACTTTTGTAAATCCTTGATTTTAATCACACCATGTCAATGGCCATGCTTTCTATAACTCCCTGTCTGAACCCCTCAGACTTTCTACCCCTTTCTCTTCCTTATGTGGCTTGATGTCAAATCTTATTTTGTTTAATAACACTCCTGTGGAGCACTTTGAAATGTTTTACTATGTCAAAGATTCCGTCTAAATGGAAGTTTTTGGGGTTTGATAAACAGCATGCAGGACCAGATGAACACATTAGCAAATATACGCATTAACAGAATGGACAGGGTGAATGGTAGGTGCAATTTAAGATGGACCAGTGTGAAATAATGCAGTGAATAGAAGCGAACACCAAGAAGTAAGGCACAGAAAGAGATGGATGAATGTAGATCTAGAACTTCAAATAAAGAAATTGTTCAAGGGTTATGTGCAGATAGACAAAACCATTTTAAAAAATTGACCGACAGCACTTTCGGTTTTATTTCTTTTTGTTCTTGAGCAATGCAAGAAGGTTGCATTCATTGCTTATCCTTAATTACCCTGAGATGGTAATAGAGGACCTCTGATGGGCATGTTGGGAATTTGAGGACTCTGAACTGAAATGATGCAAGATAGACTTGCAGAAACTATCAGGATGGTATGATTTGAAGATTATTGTGTCCTACAAAGTTGTTGCTTTTGTTTGAGTAGAGATGAGGAAATGAGCCGTATGTCTGTGGATTGTATATACTGCAGCCACAGTGTGTGTGGATATTGGGTGCAATGGCAGAGGCACCAAGTGAGAATAAAACTGAAGATGCTGGAGATCTGAACCGAACGAGAACAAAACTGCTGTGTGGTGTCACTTTCTTGAAAGCTATCATGACTGCAGTTTTCCAAGCATATAGTCGCTAAAACAGAAGTTGCTGGAAAAGTTCAGCGGGTCTCGCAGCATCTGTGAAGAAAAATCAGAATTAATGTTTCAGCCCCAGTTGCCCTTCCTCAGAACTGTTTATTACATTAAAGATGCTATATACACAGTTGTTGTTGAAAGGTGATTAATCTGAAACATTAATTTTGTGCCCGCCTTCAAAATACTGTCTTATGTGTGACGTATTTCTGACATGTTTTTGTTTTATTTCAATTAATATTGTGATATCCACCTGTAATTTAAATAGGTAATCTGTTCTCAGATGTAATTATAAATAAATTCTATTTTTTTGTAACAATTCAATGGTGGCAAAGATGCTCATAAAAACTATTCTCAACTCTATTCTGGCCAATTTTAATTTTGATTACTTGACAATCTTTCTAGTAAATATATTATAGCTTGTTTTCCAAGACCTGCTTCATGACATGTCTGGTGTGGTGATGGGCAGTACTTTTAGATGTTTTTTGCACAAATCTTACCTTCATTATTTCTTTGTCTATAAATACTTTGCAGTGCATCCTGAAAATGAATGAATGTTATTTCAAGAACATCAATTCCTTTTTCCTACTATATACATCACTTCTTTTAAAATAATTTAAAGTATTCATTCCAATTTTAGGTTATGCATTGGATCCAACTGTAGACCACAGTGAAGGAACAGGAGGCGGTACGTATATTGGTAGTGTGGAAGATGCCGAGAAGAATCAAGGTAAACGCTTTTGTTTAAATGTACTTTGATAACAGATGGTTAATTTAGTTACATCGCTGCTGTGTCCCGTAAATGTAATGGGAATATGTAGCTAACAAAATGCGCTAGTTAGTGTTTAATTTTATTGTTCATTTTTCCATCCTGAGGCATGGTGCTCCTATATATTGTGTGTGTGTGTGTATATTGATTTACAAGTATTTGGGTTCTTGTTTTCTAACCTGGCTTTCTTTCTTTTCAGCCTTGCATCCTATAAGGGAGTCAGTTACTTCCTTATGCCTTGTTTTAAGTACTCTTCATCCTTGTACTTGCCATCACAGCTTTGCAATTGACTCAGTCCTGCTCTGTGCTGCAATTCACACTAAAGCTCACTTATAACACCTTTGCCTCTCTTCTCTTTGTTTATTCCGGGGCTACTGGGAATTGTTGTGACTATAACAGAGGAGGTAACTCAGCATAAGTTTTTTGTTTTAATTCATTCATGGGATGTGGGCAAAGCTGGGCAGGTATTTATGTGCATCCCTAGTTGCCCTTAGAAAGGTGGTGGTGAGCTGTCTTCTTGAACGACTGCAATCCATGTGCTGTAGATAGATCTACAAAACCGTTAAACAGGGAGTTACAGGATTTTGACCCACCAACACTGAAGGGACAGTGATATATTTTCATATCAGATGGTGAGGAACTTGTACGTGGGGATGTTTCCATGTAATTGCTGCCCTTGCCCTTCTAGATGGAATTGATTGTAGGTTTGGAAAGAGCCTTGGAGAATTTCGAGAGTGCACATTTGTAGGTGATACACACTGCTACTGCTGAGCATCAGTGGTGGAAATGACAGATGTTTGTGAATGTAGTACCAATCAAGCGGGCTGCTTTGGCCGCTTCTTGACTCTTCATGCAGCTGCACTCATCCAGGCAAGTTGGGAGAATTACATCATACTTCTGACTTGTGCCTTTATAGATGATGGACAGGCTTTGTAGAGTCAGGAGGTACCTTACTCACTGCAGGATTCTTAGCCTGTGACCTGCTCTTGTCACCAGGCTATTTATATGTCTAGTCCAGTTCAGTTTCTGATCAGTGATAACCCCCAAGATGTTCTTAGTGGGGAATTCAGTGATGGTAATGCCATTCAATGTCAGGGGACAATGGTTAGATTCTATCCTGTTGGAGAATGTTCTTGCCTTGCATTTGTGTGACATGACATTTGTGTACCACTTTTCCCCACAAGCCTGGATATTTGGGCAGCATGGTGGCTCAGTGGTCAGCACTGCTGCATCACAGTGCCTGGGATCCAGGTTTGATTCCAGCGTTGGGCGACGATCTGTGTGGAGTTTGTACATTCTCCCCATGTCTGCATGCGTTTCCTCTAGATGCTCTGGTTTCCTCCCACAGTCCAAAGATGTGCAAGTTAGATGGATTGGCCGTGCTAAATTGCCATAGTGTCCAGGGATGTGCAGGGTAGGTGGATGATCCATGGGAAATGCAGGGTTACAGGGACAGGCTGGGGGTGTCTGGGTGGGATGCTCTTCAGAGGGTCGGTATGGACCCAATGGGCTGAATGGCCTGCTTCCACACTACAGAGATTCTACGATGAGATCTTGCTGCATTTGGACATGGAATGATTAATTATTTGAGGAGTCAGAAATAGCGCGGAACATTGTGCAATCATTAGCAAACATTCCTACTTCTGACCTTTTGATGGAGGAAGGGTCATTGATGTAACAGCTGAAGATGATTGGGCCTAGGACACTATCCTGGAGCTGAGCTGACTGACCTCCAGTAACCACAACCATCTTCCTTTCTGCCAGATAAGTCTCCAACCAAAAATCAGAAATTAAATGTGGGCCTTCCTTGCTTTTACAGTTTTAAAGACTTAAGGCACAGAATTTAGAAATGCCTGGGACCCATTTTTGGGTTCCATAGATGCCCTAAGATGCCTGTGTACACTTCAGGAAAAGTTGTGTGCCAGCAACTTGATTGAATATTTTGAGAAGGCAGTAATTGGGCTAATGAGGCTCGTGCATTTGATGTAGGTCATGTAGATTAAAGCAAGACATTTGTCATAGTTCTAAATGGCAGACTGTTCACAAAAGCAAAAGGTTTTTGAATCCAAGACAAAGAGGCAAGTTGGACCCAAAATTAGCACCAAAGCAAAAAAACAACTTTTAGTGAGTGTCAGAGATAGTAAGAACTGCTGATGCTGGAGTCAGGGATAACACAGTGTGGAGCTGGAGGAACACAGCAGGCCAGATAACATCAGAGGAACAGGAAAGCTGACGTTTTGGGTCGGGAAACGTCAGTTTCCCTGTTCCTCTGATGTTGCCTGGCCTGCTGTGTTCCTCCAGCTCCACACTGTGTTATCTTTTAGTGAGTGTTGTTTTTCTGATGAGAAGGCGGTTTCCACAGGGCTCAGTGCTAGGTCTCTTGCTCTTTCTGGTATATATTAATGATTTGTTTTTGAATGCCACCCCGCAAAAGAACATTTATTAATCACCTTGTGTGGCATTATCATATTAAACGGGTAGACTTAAAGCAGATTCAGCAGCACAAAACTGGGTATCCACGAGATCATCATAAGCAGAATTGTACTCCCAACATAACCTAATGGCACAGTATCTCTTGCACTTTACCATTACCATCAAGCCCAGGGATCAACCAAATTGGTTTACTAATAACCTTTAACAAAGGAAATCTGCTATCTTTACCTGATCTGGCCTACATGTGACTTCAGATCCACAGCCATGTGGTTGGCTCTGATCTGTGTGGTTGATTACAATCTTTTGCACATGTGCTACTCAACAGTGGTTAACAAACATAAAGACATCACAAATTTGGCATGCATCACATTGAAAATTAATTGGGCAATTGCCAAAACCATCTTCAATAGTTTTATAAAAGCCACCGCAAGCTGGGTGGTGCAGTGGTGTTACGCACAGGTATTTTACATCTGAAACCTGGGTCAAATCCAGCCAGGTTCTACAAATCCAATTAAATTGACAGTCTTATTCAGACATGTATGGCTCATGCAGTAAATCCTAGGTTGGAACTGAGGCATTTAGTTAGGCTAAGAATATACTGTAACTGAGGTGGGAGTGGTAGATGTTGCTATTGAATGCTTGACATGGACAACATTGCAGACCCGTAACTGTTGAGTACAATTTAATCTTTATAACATTATTATTGGAGAAACCAAGTAATTTTTAAGATTGAAGTGTACTCCTAAATGGCCATCTGCAGCTAGCACAGCACTTAAACATGTTTCAATACCAAACAGTTGTTTTAAAAGTAACTGTAGTATCTAATTTTTATATTTATGTGGGAGTGTTCCAATTTCTACTTGAGTAGAATTTTAGCAGATACCTGATTATCGCCTTTGAAACAACAGTAACTTGATTTACCAAAGAAAATCTGTTGAGTTTATGCTGTCATTGACAAACCAGATTGCTGTGGAAATGGAATTAATCCAGTTTGCAAATGGCAAGATAACTAGTGCATAAGTAACAGAAATTAAAACCAGGACATAGCTACCTTATGCCCCAAATAGCTTACTTGGAGGCCACTGTTTTCTTGTGTCGGTGCATTTCAGATCTAGAACAGACCGGCACAGTTCAAGAAATGAAACACCAGTCAGGAATTATTGTGTTCTGATTTATTTCTTTTTGTGTAATGTGGCAAGGTTTTTGTAACAGATGCCATTGATTCTAAAATGTGTAATTAATGTCCCATTGCTCTACGAACATTCCTTAAGCTTGATATGAATTGTTTAAATGAAACGTTGATGTCGTATCTTTTAACCGTAGTTTATTTACTGTCAGGCAGGGGGCACTCAGTACTGTATTGCAAACTCAAAATCATTTATGCTATTTAGTACTGTTTTGAGGAAATCAGTGGAACAAGTGTGGAAGTACTTTACTTCTAAAGCACCTCTCCGAAATACATGCACTAAGTTGATGATCTTCTGGCTGAGAGGATCCAACAGCACCTTCTACATGCCAGCTGAAAATGGTTATTATACTTGTGAATCTAGTTCTATCTCTCTCAACCTAAAATCAGTTATTCTAATGGGAGTAGGCTTGCGGTGATGAAATGATGTTCAGTTTTTACTTGCTTTGGTTTGCTTATGTTATTCCCATTTGATCCTTATTTGGTACTTGCATAACAATGAATTTGAAATAATGCTGAATGCCATGTATAATTATGAAAAAGCCCATGTTAGTTTATGTGGATTTACAATGTCTAGTTTGGTATTTGCTAACTTGTCTTTATTATTCATTTAAACTCATGCAGGGCTTACAGTATTTGAATCTGGTAAAAAGAAAACCGAAAAACGAAAGAAATTAAAAGAACCTGACCCAGCAAACATTGATGGTTTTCAGGGGCCTTGGGCAAAGTATGTGGATGAAAAGGATGTGGCCAAACCTTCAGAGGTTAGTTGACCTACCTATTTTAGCATTTGCAAAGAAGGAAAAATTTGCACAACTTGGTCCATTTGATCTCTGTCATCTATCACTGATGACGCTGACAATTTCTGCCTTTGGAAGGCTGGAAAATTTAAGGACACATTTTGAAATGAGACTATCTTACTAAATAACATAAATTGGCAACTTTATGTATAAAGCCGAGAGTCAGGTCCACACTGAATATAGCTAGTGGTGTAACTTCACATTCTGCACATCATATTCTGGAATTAATTTAACAAGACAATTTTAAAATGTTTTTTTTTCAGAGATATTTGATGTTATTGCAGTTACCTATATACCACTTCATTGCTGGAAGGAGTGGACATGTGTTCTGCTGGTCTTGATTTGACCATTAGAGGGGGTATTGGGCAGTGACTAAGATCCTCTTCTTCGAGTAGTTCTGCCTGACTCATGGTGAAATGCATAATCACAAAATGAAAATGTACTCTGTGGTGAAAGAATTCTGAGCACCAATCTCAGCTATGTGATTGTGCTGTAGTAATGTTTTCAAAAATGTGATAATCACCTTCCCTGAAGACAGATGTTCTTCTAAATTTTTAAGTACCTGCCTGCTTACCGATAGGCATTCTAAATTTTGCTGCAGCGATGCTGTCAAAAGCCGTTGTGCAGTCTGTGGCCAACATTGTCCCTACTGTACTCAAAAATAAGTAACTATGAAAAGAAATGTGAAAGTTTCTAATAAAATGGCATGTAAAATTTTATTTTGCAGAACATTGTAAATGGAGACTTGCTAAATATTTTACTTGCAAAACTATAAAATTGCTTTTTAAAATAAGAGGCTGGTTGTTGTGGATGTAATGGATTATTAGGACCTGTCTCTATGCTTGAACATGTCCAACTTCTATTTACAGTGAGTCATGTATTCCAGTTTATATGTGAATTCCTGTCTTCAAATGTATAACACAGTTTTAATATCAGACATTACTGAAGGTGGTGGGTAGCATATGGCTACCTGTTACCTTTTCGAGGGCAACTAGGGATGGACAAAAAATGCTGCCCCAGCCAGCAAAGCCCACATCCCATGAATGACTTTTTAAAACTGGCTAATAAAACAAATAAACTAAGAAAACATGCAGAAGTGACATCAATTGGGAAACAAATATTTTGTAATGAAGCTGCTTTAATGGCTTGATTCATATACTCTTGACAGAAATACCATTCCCCACCTAACTGTAAAATAGTATAATTTCAGTTGGTCTCTCTTAACTATCCAAGGTTTTAGGAAAAAGTATAGCAGTCTCTTTTCAATGCCAATCATTTTATGGTTTTAACATATCTATGAGGCAAATAATATGTTGCCTCAGAAAACATGTGAATACAAAATCGTGCTATTTTCTCTCCCTACTGTGATAGGGATCTGAAGATCATTTGACCTTTCCCTTTAAACAAAATGATGTGCAATGTTAATTACTACTTTTCACTGGCATCTGAAGACAATAATAAATGAATCATAGCTATTGAAAGATCATTGCAGAAAATTCATGATATACTTAAAAACTAATTTTTAAAAAAATTGCAAAATAATAATGCCAATTGTAAATTGTTTGCTCTTTCAGCAAGCAGCTTGTATGTCATCTTGTGCCCTAAATTAGATTATTGTCTTGTAAATGTTCCTGTCACAGATTCTCCACAGACAATCTAACTGATGTAACTAAGTAGATTGTCAGTGGAGTTCACATTTTCATCTATTACTGTAATCCTCTTGTAATATGGGAAAATTTGGTTATTTCTGCAGGAAGAACAAAAAGAACTTAATGAGATTATAGCCAAACGACAAAAGAAAGGCAAACAAGAAGATGAGAAACCTGCAGAAGAGAAAACAATCCTACACCGTAATGCATATAGTTTGTTTGTCTGTACTTCTGTGGAGGGGGTTGCAATTGTGGTAGTTAGGGGTTGAGGGGTGGGAGAGGAACTGATTGATGTTTTCGTATTATTTCTTGACATCAACTATTTGAATATGGTGTAGTTTAAAGTAGTTTGTTTATCTATGGAACAACATACTTTTAACTAACTCTTTTGTAATTCAAATCCTTTAATGCCCTCTTTCTTTATCAATCTTTCCTGTTCCCAGATCACCTATTGTCTTAATTTCCACATCCAAAATTTACTTTTTAATGATGTAACTTAGACATGTAGTGAGTCCTGTTCGTGAACAGAATGGTCTAGCAGAATTCTCCAACAGCAGCTTATCTTCATAGATCACCTTTAACACACTTTAATATACAAAGAGCTTTGGATACAATTTGACATTGAACCACATAAGATATTAGGGCAGGTAACCGAAAACGTAGTCAGAGTGGTAGATGAGAAATAGGGAAGATGCAAGGATTCCTTGGCAGAACCTGGAGCAGACAATATGGACAGAAAGAGAAGTCATTCCAGAGCTTCCCTAGCTACAACTGGATGAATAAAAATGAAAGCTGTGAACTTATTGATCAACCCTCCTACTTTCAAGTCTAAATCATTTATATAAACAACAAAAAGCAAGAGCCCCAACACTGACCCCCGTGGGACACCACTGGATGTGGACTTGCAGTCAGTAAAACACCTCTGAGCCATCAACTTCGGCTTCCTGCCACTCAGCCGATTGTGAATCCAATTTGCCAAATTTCTTTTGGTCCCATAAGCTCTTCCCTTTGCTATCAGTCACCCATGTCGGACCTTGTCAAAAGCCTTGCTGAAGTCCAAATAGACTATAACAAAAGCATTCCCCTCATCTACACACTTGGTCACCTCTTTGAAAAATTCAGCCAAGTTGGTCAGACATGACCTCCCCTTTGCAAAACCATCTGACTGTTATTGATTAATCCCGGCCTGTCCAAATGCAAATTAATTCTGTCCCTCAGAATTGCTTCCAGTAGTTTCTCCCACTGAGGTTAGACTGACTGCTGTTAGATTCCTGGATTATCCCTTGCTCCTACCTTGATTAATGTTACCACATTGCATGACCTCTCCTGTGGCCAGGGAGGAATTGAAAATTATTGTTAGCGCCCCTGCTATTTCCTTCCTTACCTCACGCAACAACCTGGGATACATTTCATCTTGCTAAACCACTCAAAACCTCCTCTCTGTCTATGTTAATTTCTTGAATTGTTTCACAGACATTCCTGATTTCTATACCCATGTCATCCCTCTCACTCGTACATTTAGAACCCTACTACTTCTGTGGGCTCCACCCACAAATCACCACTGTAGTCCTCAGTAGGCCCTATTGTTTCCCTTGTTATTCTCTTGCCCTTAGTGTACTTGCAAAATAACTTAAGATTTTCCTTTATTTTTCCTTTCATACCCTCTTAGCCCTCGTAATGTCTCTTTTAAGTACCTTCTTGCACATTCTACATCCATGAAGAGCTTCTACTGTTTTGAGCTCTCAATATCTGCTATAAGCTCCCCTTTCTCTCTTAACACTCCTTGGACTAAGAGCAGAGACTTTCAGGCAATTCTGCCTCAGAATACTGAGATACAGTCAAGGAGGAAATATGGAGAGTACAGGGCCTAATGTTCCAATAACAATAAAGTGTGGGACCACTAAACACTGAGAACCCTCATATCTATGTTGTTGGTAGCAATATGCGCTACAATCTGTCTGTTTGCCCTACCCTTTCAGAATGTCTTGCAACCACTGTGACATCCCTGACCCTAGCACCAAGGAGGCAATGTACAATCCTGGAGTCTCTCTTGCAGTTGCAGGAATGCCTGTCTGTTCCACTTGCAGTTGAATCCCATACCACACTAGCCCTGCTGTTACTTTTCTTCCCCTCTTGTGCAGCAGACCCACTCACGGTACCATCAAGTTGGTTGTCACTGCTTTCCTCTGCACAGTCACCACCCTGAATAATATCCAAAATCATATATCTATTAGAAGGTGGATGGGCTGCACTACCTGCTTACCTGTACTCTGCCTGGTGGTCACCCATGCCCTTTCTGCCAGTTTAATCTGTTTGACCACCTCACAAATGCTCTACAGTGAATTTAAATGTTCTTGGACTTCTGCAGTACATGAGTGATAGATATACCCACAGTACTGTTGGAGAGGGAGTCCACCCACCGTGCTCCTGGAGAGGATGTTCTAGGATTTTGATGCAACTACAATGAAGGAATGGCAATGAAGTTTGAAGCTGGGATAGTGTAATAGAAAGTTGTAAAGGATATTGATTAATGTAAATGTATAAATGATGTTGTCTGTCCTGATAACTAATAATATTTCCTTAATTTGTTTTACTCCCTTTTATAATTATTTTAATTTATCTTTCATTTTTCCTCCTCATTTTGTACTTTATACTGCTGGCCCACTTAGCCATTCAGTTCTGAATGGGGAGATATAGCATTCATACCTGTTTGTACGATGTTTCACTTTGCCGCATCTATAACTAAGGGAACAGCTACACTGATGAGATTCACCATTGGCATATTGAACATAGACATTATGCAAATAATAACGTGGCCACCAATTGCTTCTCTTGCCTTGGGAGCTTAAATCGTGGAACTACCCTAATTTGAATATAGTCAAACTAATGTGAAACCATAAAAATGCAGTTCAGAAACAATATAATCTCAATTCTAAAGATAGCATGACTTCTGGCTTTCCGCATTTGAAGTTAGCTTATCAAGAGCGTAAGAAATTTTAGTTAACTTGTTACATACTTTTAAATGCCTGGTTTAAGATTACTGAGGCAACACCTTTAGGGATTTCTGGAAACTTAACAAGTACTGGCTGCTGTTTTATTTTAAACTTTGGTTATGTTAGACAACTAACCCTGGTAGATTATTCTGAAGTTTCTGAAAGCATTGTCTGGAGAGGTTGTGCTTAATGTTAGAGAGATGTTAGTGATGGGGATGAAATTTTTAATTTCAGACTCAGAGTATCAACATTAGAGACTTGCAGGTCACCAATACCACACGGGGTACAGCATTGAGCTTTCTATTCTGCATCAACAACATTAATCATCTACTAACCTAGAAAGCTCTTAATGCGTTAGTGTGAGCTTTTTTTTCTGCATTCCTATGCTAGCTGCCCTGTGGCCTCTGAGTAACAGTCGGAACAGTTTTGCACTTCCAAGTACATATGACACTGTAGATTGGATAGAGTCATTTCACACAAGGTCCCTACAATCACACATTCATTTCATCAATTTGGCTGGATTCCAAGCAAAGTCACAGAGGTAAAAGGCCAAAGTCTGACCAATTTTCCTGAGGTTTCTGTTTTATCCCATTAGTGTTTTAATTTTGTCTTACTATGCCTTTAAAAGTGATTTTGTAATTGTTAGTATCTGGGGTCGTACTATAATTAGCTTACAGAAACTGAATTAAATTTATATTTAGTGAGGATGCAGTTATTTTATGAAAAGCTGCAGACTGGAATAGAAAATAACCTATTTAATTGAAGTACAATACAGCTTTTTTTAAGAAATCTACATGCTGTAGATAGCCTATATCCTAGCATAACATTGGCTCAGCATCAGCTTTGCATTCATGTACTGAATCATGCTTGAGTTCCACATTTTAAATTAACAGAGTAACTTGTTACAGGTGCTTTTAGTTTGCATCTCAGAATTGAAATTCCAATTTTTACAATCGTATATCAATGTGATTTAACGGTGATTTGGTTTTTTTTTGCAGAACAACCCATCTGATGTTTTATTCAGCATTGTATATTTATTAAGCACATATATTTTGCCTTTTAAGAGTATTTTGCCTCTCCTTGTATTCAAAAAGAGTATTTCTTAACTTTCTGATAAACTTGTGATTGATCAATGGATAAAACATTGACAAGGTTAATGCCATCTTTTTATAGTCAAAGATATGTATGACTACCAAGGAAGGTCGTATCTTCACATTCCTCAAGATCTTGGAGTCAATTTACGATCTAATCAACCACCTGAGAAATGTTACCTTCCTAAGAAACAGCTGCATGTATGGACTGGACATACAAAGGTACTATTTCAAATTAGCATGTTACACATCTTTTTTTTATATGTGCAGAAAACATACAATTGCATATTCTTTTGGGATTCACTTCAAATACCTTAATCTAGATTTTCCAGAAATACAATTGGTAGTATTTGGATGAAGGCAGGAAGTGGATGGTGACTCACTAGTTTCCCATTGCATTTCCATTGGGTGGAAGTAGCTGAAATGGCAAACAGTTTTTGTTTTAGATATTGTTTTAGAGATGTACGTTTGACATGGGTGTAAAGGATTTACCTGGTTTTACTTGTAATTATCTTGGGCTTGCGTAACAGTTGCCATCCTTTTGTGGGCACTCCATGCCAGGGTGATCAGTGGCCTGGATTGTCTGCATTAGGCAAAAAGCCACCATTTCTGCAGGCATGGCCAAACCTAGTTGACAGTAATGGTGGGGTGCATATTTTTAGGATATGTGGAGATGGTGGCATAGTGGTAAAGACAAAGGACTAACAATCCAGATACCCACGCTAATGCTCTAAGGATGTGAGTTCAAATCCCACCACTGCAGCAATTCAATTTATTCAATTAATCTGGAATGTAAGGGTGGTCTCGGGAACCTTGACCAATGACCTAAAAAAATACGACTTACAGTAGGCCAGATAAGGATATTAGTATGTGAGATTGCAGATCCACAATAATGTAGTTGACTCTTAATTGCTCTCTGAAATTGTTTAGCAAGTCACTTAGTTCGATTCAGGGCAACTGGGATGAGCAACAAATGCTGACTTTACCAGCAACACACACATCCAGTATGAAATAATGAATTCTTAAAAAAACAGCAAAATGGCAAAACTGCTATCTGTGATCTACTGCAAGGCTATCTGCAGCTTCTGTGCAACATTGACATTAATGTTCAACTGTAACCTGAAACTGGGTCAATCCCTTCAGGCTTATTGCAAAGCTAATTTGTACTGATAGACCCTCTACCTTTACTCTATGATACCATGTCCACTCAATCATCTCTCTTATCCTGATGCAGCAAAGTAAGGTGTTGAGTTTGTTTCTTATTTACAGGCATGCCTATATTTTGTGATTTGTTCTCTTGATTTTCGTTTGCCAGTTTTAACCCATCCTTACTCTGCTAAGAGATTCTCTTCTGGGTCTCACTGAAGTTTTTTAGATGATTCATTGTGACATTTTCTTTTAATTGATCTCTTAAATTTGTTTTATATGTAATTTTGTAACGCCAGTTGCCTGTCTTGAAATGTCTGTATTTACATTTATAGGCATGTGAATCAGCTCAGTTACATCACAATGAAATCTAAACTGCACCTTTATTATCCTGCTGATTTTACAGTTTAGCATTTATATATGAAATTCACGAGGCATGATTTTACTGTTCTGTTTGAAGCTGTTAATTTACTTTTGAAGTACAGCAGTTCATTGTTTACTTGATAAGAAATAAAGAACTTGCATTTACATAGTACTTTTCACTGCCCTAGGATATCCCATCATGCTTTATAGCCAATGAATTATAATCTTTGCTGCAATGCAGGGAAGTGCAGCATAGAATTTTCACATATCAAGGTCTCACATTTAAACAACCAAATAAACAACCAAAAAATTAGGTTCTGATATGTTGGTTATTGCCCAGAGCACAGGAGAAATTCTCTAATACTTTATTGAATCATGGAATACAATTTTTAAATATCTATTGAAGAGGGCAGAAAAGGTTTCCATGCTGTCCCAACCAAAATTCAGCTCTTCCTGTAGTTCAGGGTACCTCTTGTATTCAGTTGTCAGTTATGATTATGTACCCAGATATTTGGAATAGGGCTTGAATCAGAAAGTACTACTGTTGAACCAAGGATGGCAAATCATAATTACTTATTTGGAGATGGAAGAATATTTAAAGTAAAATGTGAAGTAATGGTGAGTGCCCAGTGATGTTTGAGATACTTTTAAAACTATTTATTTTTCTGATTTTGTGTTTTGTTGTTTTTGCTTTTCTGAAGGTAGCAACTCCTTTTTTATGTCTCTGTGCCTGTACTCCTAGCATTGTACTGCCTTTTACCAAAATAAGTCTATGCAGTAAATGTTGATGACCTCTAGGACATCATCACTAAGCTTGATCTATTCCTGCCACCACTTCCAACAGAGCTCATTTGATAGCAGTTACAAATGATACATTTGGCTGAACTTCCTTGCTTGACGGCTGTTGTGTGTCCTCACCAATGATATGACTGAGATAACTTAATTTAGTGCAGAACAGCGATAAAACCTGGGGCTGTCTGTGCAGTTTAGTGTTGCACATCATAATGGTGTATTAACTCAGTGACAATGGAAGGTTTTTTATGTTGCCTATCAAATTAAACTTTACAAAATGTACATCTCAATTGATATTATTCACCAATTTATTTGTCACAATGTTGTCCTACTAGTTTATTTGAAGCAGTTTTGCAATTTGAAAAGTCCAGTGTGTTTTTAGTACAGTAATGATATTGTTTTAACATTGCCCATCCTTGCACCTGTGGCTATGGACTATAATCCCCAGACAGGCAGGCGGCCGAAGTGATCCTACTCTGAACATGGCATTGTTATCATTATATAATGAAATTATACTCTCTCTTTTTTGTCTCGATTTCCCGTCTTTCTAAACTGCTTTTTGTATTTTGGAAGAAAGTCATCGATGAACAGAAGTACAGTTAGGGTATCCATGTAAGAACATCAAGCAAATGTTCTGATCTGAACCAACTCCTCCAATTACAGTGCACTCCACTTGACATGTGTCAGTAGCATTCTGAACCACAGAAAGTAGGATTGCTGTAGTGGAGAAGGGACCATTTGTTTTTTTAAGCTCCCTCTGAAAACAGAAGAAGGTTTCATCAAAAACCCACAAATTTTTGCCATTTTCAAAGTTACTGATTTTGGTTGTAGCTATTCACCCTTGCTGCCAACAAGGTAATTAGTCAGATCGTTATCCTTTACTGCGGCACATTGCCAAACATTAATTTTCAGCCTTCTGATTAGCTGGAAAACTGGCTTTGGGAGCTTTGGATCTATTTATAGCTAAGCACACTATTTATTTTGTTATCAGGAGTGTCTTCAGTGTTATATATAATTGTAAACCTTTTGTTTAGAAATCATGTCTATCTAAGCTGATACTTGCCATCCGTGCTGAGCAATGATGTGCAACTGTGAGGCAATTTGATGTTTTATTAGTAAGAAGAGGGAAACAAAATGCGTGAGATGCAATGGGTTCTCTTTTTTTTGAGTGTGGAAGAACTAGTGCAGTATGAAAAGTGTGATCGAGAGGATAGGAGAGACAGCACATTTGAAGTCTGTTTCCTTGACATAAGAAATCAATGTATGTCATATCCACAATTCACTTGTAGCCTGAGAAATGAGAGAAATAAAATAATGGGTCTTCCTGACATCCCATCACCACTGCTATTAACCCTGTAGTAGGCAGGACACTCACCACTGGGGGAGAACAATGTACAAACCAAGGCAGGGGTTGGGGGTGGGAATGGAGCCTCATTTGAAGGTACCCATTTCCTGTCTGGTGCTGCTGAGGGCTAGGAAATGAAAAGTTTAATACATCCTTACTGTGCCTGCCAAATGTCATGTGCAGTCTCTGGAGCATGGCCTCAAATGCTGACGGTTTATTCAAGTTCAAAGTGGTCTGCCTAGTTAAATTGTTAAATCAAAGCTGATTTCCTTGATGAACATTTACATCAAGTAGTTTAACTTTACAAGCAAATGTTGGCATCGTTCTGTCTAGGAGAGATGATTGACGTGCAGCATACAGTCCATTTAGGTGGTGTATCTTCATTCGGGGCACCTTTATTGTTGGCTGTGAAAGCCAGTTCTTGAGAGGCAGGTTCTGCCATGGGGTGCCCTAAAGGAAGGTGCCCAAGTTTTTGGCATTGGCACCTTTTATGCAAGATACTGGAGCCTCTGGTTGTCGTGATAATACATGTGAGCCAACAGGATCATGGAATCATAGAATCCCTTTGGTGTGGAAGCAGGCCTTTCAGCCCATCAAGTCCACACCGACCCTCCAAAGAGCATTCCACCCAGACCCACCCCCTACCCTAGACACTATGGACAATTTAGCATAGCCAGTCCACCTAACCTGCACATCTTTAGACTATGGGAGGAAACTGGAGCACCCGGACGAAACCCACACAGATACGGGGAGAAAGTGCAAACTCCACACAGACAGTCACCCAAGGCAGGAATCGAACCCGGGTCCTTGACGCTGTAGGCAACAGTGCTAACCACTGAGCTATCATGCTGCCCTTGCACTATAATTTCCGCATTTTCACCAGCTAGTGACTCCCAGCTGCAATAGGCAGTGTTTAGGCCTTCAAATCATGTTTGCACACATCGTTGAAGTGGAACCTTGCAGTCTTCTGACTCCAGTTTCCTCACTATTAGAACATCCTCGGCTATGTGACTGTGTTTAATTCTACAGATTCGCTGAAGCTGAAGTTAGGGGGAAGGTGTGAGTTGGGTGGCAAAGTGAAGACGGTGTTGTACCCAATATCTTTCTCTTGTCTGTTATTAACACTTATTGAGCTTTTCATTTGTCCTGGCCTGCTATCCATAACCTCCTTGTTTACCTACCCCTTTCATATTTCTCTCTCTTCAGCATAAGTACCATTTATCCTACCAGGTAACAGTTCTAATGAATTGTAACTGGACTCAAATTGTTAACTGTGCTGTCTTCCGACAAATGCTGCCAGACCTGCTGAGTTTCTCCAGCAACTTCTCTTTTTATTTGAGCACAATTTGCTAACTACTTCCAGTGTGGTCTTATTTAGTGTAATCACGGGCAGAGTTGGAGCACCTCGTCTCATGACCACACTTTACTTGACACCTGTATCCTAAAACCAGTTCTGCAAAGACTATCATCTTGGTGCTTCTTTCAATATAGAAATTGTACAGAAGTTTTCATGTATTGTATTAGTCAATATTTCCTTAGTACACTTTCAAAAAGATAGCAAAGACAGAAGGCAAATGCCAGAGAATTAAATATCTGGTTCAGACCATAAGAGGACATTGTTATATTCTTGTGTTCTGCTTTCAAATATAATGTGGATCAACATGAAAGGTTGGGAATCCACTTAAAAAAAATACATGTCACTAAATGTGAGACAGTATCAGAAGTAAATGCAGATTAGTAGTTATCCTCTTGATGCCCGTACCATCATTAGTACAGACATGCAGTCAAATCTAGTCACTGTATGTGACATTAAGAAGATTTCTGTGCACAGCCTACCGCCACTTTCTTAAGAGCAGTTAGGGATGGTAGTAAATGTTCGCACAGCCAGCAAATTCCGTATCCTATGAATGATTTCTTTAAAGCATTTACTGGATATGGGACATGACAAAATCCCAGACATTATGCTGAAGACTTGTATATTAATGGAAAATTGCCCACCTTAAGTCCTGTCTGTAAAAAGCAGAAAAAATCTAATCCTGACAATTTTAATTTTAGTTTGATATTAGCTACTGAAGTGATTTCCAATTTTTTTTATGTTTCAGGGCGTCAGTGCTATTCGATTGTTTCCAACATCTGGTCACTTGCTTTTGTCCTGTTCCATGGACTGTAAAATAAAGGTAAAGATTTACTGCACTGCTTCACAGTTTGTCATGTCATTTATCCAGGGTGTAATAGATTAGAGATAGAAATTTGAGAGTCATTGCAGCAAAGCAATTTAACTGATGGATTCAGAAATCATCCCTAAAATTGAATATGAGCTTTGAACATTTTGTCACCTGAAAATCAAATAAAGAATATTTTTAAAGTAATTCTTCACCTGTCCCCTTGTTTATTTTCAGTGTTTATATACGTAATTTTGATATATGAATTTAGACTACTAGAGAAAACATTGTGTAAACTGTAAGGTATTTGCATAACAGAATTGTAGATGACATCCTAAGCCTTATGAGCAACTCCTTTGAACTTCATAACAAAGATTAGATTACAGCCTTGCAATAGCTCCCTCATGTCTGCTGCAGTTAATTTCAACTCTTAATTTTGCACGGGAAGGTTATTCTATTTCAATGTAAACTTTCTGTAGCTGTAAAGATAGCTGTCACTTGGTATGCAATGTTTATGTGATGTTAATGTTGATATATTGAAAGTAATCTCTGCTTGATTCAGTGTTTTCGATAAAAATACATAAAATTGGCTGTGCAATTTAACACTTTGATTTCCTTCTTGACTTCAAATTAATAACCACAATTTGCCTCTATATATATTTAACAAAGCATTGCTGCTTCACAGAGAAAGAAAAGATTTGATATTAAGCCATAGTAATAAACTTGAGCAAGGTGCCTAAAGCTTGCTTGGGTTGGCAAGCTGTGAAGTTGTAGAGAAAGAGATGCATGAATTTAGTGAAAGAATTATGGAAGAGAGAGATGGGTTGCTTAATGATGGAATGTAAAACCAGACTTGGAATATGGAAAGAGTTGTAAGACTGGGGTGAGGTCTTGAAGGTACTTATAAAGCAAGTTGACAATTTTAACTTCAGTGCCTTGGAAACAAGTGACAGTGTAAATCCACAAGGACATTCTTAAAGGAGGAGTATGAACCGCTACACTGCAGATCACGGTGGACATGGTGGAATTTTGAATCATGCAGAATTTTGGAGATGAAGAGGCCAGCGTAGAAAACATTGAAAAAATCAAGTCTGGAAGTCAGTATGTTACAATAAGTTCACGGCGACAATGGGATTGAAAAGGAACAGAAGCATAGGGTACTACAAAGATGGATGCATGGTAGAGAAGTTTCCGAACTTCTCTTAAAACAGTGTCCTTCTCACTCATTGTGTGAATCAGGCTGGATGATCAGCCAGGGAGAGAATCACATGAGTTGCAAGAGAGCAGAGCTTAACAGGGACTCAAAATAACAGTTTTCTCAGTTTGCTGATGTTCAGTTAGAGGAAATTATAGCTTATTTAACTTCAAACAGAAAGTGTGACGGCACAGAGTGTAGAGTAATACTTTTTACGCAAGAAGGAAGCTCTTCAGCCCATTGTATCTGTACCGATAATCAAAGAACTATTCTCCTCCCCTTTTGTAGCATTTGGCCTGTGACCTAATGTGCTATGGTGTTTCAAGTGTTCAGCTAAATACTCATTAAATATCGCAGGTTCCTGGCTCTCCCACCCTTTCAGGCATGGAGTTCCAGATACTCAACTCTCCTGGATGAAAATGATTTTCATCAAATCCTTTATAAATCTCCTGCCCTTTATACCTCAAAACTGATCCCCTGGTTATTGATCTGTTTCAATGTTTCTCCCTATCAGAAGATTGTATACCTCAATTAGATCCCTCGCTCAGCCTTCGCTGCCGTAAGGCAGACCACCCTAATCACTCCTGTCAGGCAGCATCCTAGTGAATATCCTCTGCCCCCTCTCCAGTTCAGTCACGTCCTTTCTATAATATGCAACGAGAACTGCTCACAGTACTCCAGCTGTGACCTGACTACCATTATATAAAGCTCTATCATAACCTCCTTGCTCTTGTATTCACTGCCTTAACTAATAAAGGCAACTAACCCATATACCTTCATAACCACCTTATCTACCTATCCTGCTGCCTTTGTCTATCTGTTGACATGCACACCAAGAGTACTTTGTGAGTTTGTGGGGTCAGTGAAAATGGTGAAGTAGAATTAGGTCCGTGGCGCATATAGCTAAAGGGTCAATTTTTGTATCATGTTATCATAAAGGAACAGTTTACTAACAAAATGGTCAAAGAAGAGAACTTTGGGAAATTTAAAAGTGATTGTGTGGGGATAGAAGGGAAGCCTGTGCTTAGCGTATGGTAGCTATGTTGAGCTGGCTGAAATTTGAAGCAAGGAAGGACAATCTTGTGAAATTGTACATCAAGAGACCTGTATTAACCATATCCAATGATACATAGGAAGTAAAGAAGAGCTAATGCATCATATTGTACAGTTGCAAATTTCAGGGAAATCTGGGTTATTTTACGATGTTAAAGATGCTATGTAAGTGCATGTTAAGTTATACAGCCTAAATGTGGAATTCTTAATGGACAAGAGTAGTGATCTTGGCCTTGTTGCTGCAATTGCCTCAAAGCCAAAGCAGGGATGGAGTGTCTGAGAAGAATTTCACAAGATCAGTCACTCCATATTTTCCAACAGTAAAATATTTTCATTAGTTTAAGCATTGAAGGAGGGGAGCATCACCACGTCATAGATGGAATAGGTTTGTAGCCTGGAGAAACTAGGAGAGAAGTTGGAAAGTCGTGTATCATTTTCAACCTGTATCACATGTCTTTTTTCAGCTTTGGGAAGTTTACAATGACCGCAGATGCATTAGAACATTTATTGGTAAGTATATTTCTGTCTGGATGAGAGGGCTAGGAAATTGTGTTATTCATTTCAATGCTGTAATTGTTTTAAGCAAACCCAACCTACTGCTTTAAAAAGAGAAATCCCGTATCATCAATTTGCTTGATTATATTTCAACAATTGCAGTCATAAAACCTTGATATTTATGAGCACGCTCTCCATCCACTTGTTTTCAATGTGCAGCCGTTGAATAAGCTGCACTGAAGACTTTATTTTACAGGATGTGTGTGTCTGGTAAAGTCAACCCTAATTGTCTTTGAAATAATGAACTACCATCTTGAATACAGCTGGAGGTGTTGATGGCTTGATACGCCAAATCATGGGCAAGTTAAGAGTCAATCACGGTACTGAAGGTCTGGAATCACGTAGAGATCAGACTCAATTTCTTTTCCTAAAGGGCACTTGTGAAACATTGCATTCTTACTACAATCTAGCAGTTTCGTGGGTACCATTATTGATATTAGCTTTTCATTTTAGACTTCATTTAATTAATTTAAATTCCTCAGCTGCGATGGTATTTGAATTTGTGTCAATTGATTGTTAGTCAGTCCTCTGGCTAATGACCAACAATGTTACCATTTCCTTTTTCTCTCCTTTATTTCCAGCAGTCATTGTAATTCAAAGAGAAAATTACTCTCCCATTTTGTTCCTGATTTCTCTCTTTGCTCCCTGATCCTCTGATAGTTGGCTTTTGGTACACTCCCTGATGCACTCCACCTCACTGCCACATTGGTTCACTGCTTCACTACTTGTGTTATGGATGAGATGTGATGCTTGCAATTTAAAAAACAGTGCAGAATATAAATTATTTGGTGGGAATATTTGCTGTCAAAATAACATGCAGCAAGATGGCCCAAATTATGAACTTAATTCAAAAACTACAAACTTTATGGAAAATATAAAACAGTCTGTCCCTGTTGCTCAGAAGGGAAGGGGGGAGAGGAGGAGAGCATTAGTCATTGGGGACTCCATAGTTAGGGGGACAGATAGGAGATTCTGTGGGAACGAGAGAGACTCGCGGTTGGTGTGTTGCCTCCCAGGTGCCAGGGTCCGTGATGTCTTGGATCGTGTTTTCGGGATCCTTAAGGGGGAGGGGGAGCAGCCCCAAGTCGTGGTCCACATAGGCACCAACGACATAGGTAGGAAAAGGGATGGGGATGTAAGGCAGAAATTCAAGGAGCTAGGGTGGAAGCTTAGAGCTAGAACAAACAGAGTTGTTATCTCTGGTTTGTTACCCGTGCCACGTGCTAGCGAGGCGAGGAATAGGGAGAGAGAGCAGTTGAACACGTGGCTACAGGGATGTGCAGGAGGGAGGGATTCAGATACCTGGATAATTGGGGCTCATTCTGGGGTAGGTGGGACATCTACAAACGGGATGGTCTACACCTGAACCAGAGGGGTAGCAATATCCTGGGGGGGAAATTTGCTAATGCTCTTCGGGAGGGTTTAAACTAATTCAACAGGGGGATGGGAACCTGAATTGTAGCTCCAGTGTACAGGAGGTTGAGAGTAGTGAGGTCATAAATAAGGTTTCAAGGTCGCAGGAGTGTACCGGCAGGCAGGAAGGTGGTTTGAAGTGTGTCTACTTCAATGCCAGGAGCATCCGGAATAAGGTGGGTGAACTAGCAGCATGAGTTGGTACCTGGGACTTCGATGTTGTGGCCATTTCGGAGACATGGATAGAGCAGGGACAGGAATGGTTGTTTGCAGGTTCCGGGGTTTAGATGTTTCAGTAAGATCAGGGAAGGTGGTAAAAGAGGGGGAGGTGTGGCATTGTTAGTGAAGGACAGTATTACGGTGGCAGAAAGGACGTTTGATGACAACTCGTCTACTGAGGTAGTATGGGCTGAGGTTAGAACCAGGAAAGGAGAGGTCACCCTGTTGGGAGTTTTCTATAGGCCTCCGAAAAGTTCCAGAGATGTAGAGGAAAAGATTGCAAAGATGATTCTGGATAGGAGCGAAAGTAACAGGGTAGTTGTTATGGGGGACTTTAACTTTCCAAATATTGACTGGAAACGCTATAGTTCGAGTACTTCAGATGGGTCAGTTTTTGTCCAATGTGTGCAGGAGGGTTTCCTGACACAGTATGTAGATAGGCCAACAAGAGGCGAGGCCACATTGGATTTGGTACTGGGTAATGAACCAGGCCAGGTGTTAGATTTGGGGGTAGGTGAGCACTTTGGTGATAGTGACCACAATTCGGTTACGTTTACTTTAGCGATGGAAAGGGATCGGTATATACCGCAGGGCAAGAGTTATAGCTGGGGGAAAGGCAATTATGAGGCGATGAGGCAAGATTTAGGATGCATAGGATGGAGAAGGAAACTGCAGGGGCTGGGCACAAATGAAATGTGGAGCTTGTTCAAGGAACAGCTACTGCGTGTCCTTGAGAAGTATGTACCTGTCAGGCAGGGAGGAAGTGGTCGAGTGAGGGAACCGTGGTTTACTAAAGAAGTTGAATCTCTTGTCAAGAGGAAGAAGGAGGCTTATGTAGAGATGAGGCGTGAAGGCTCAGTTAGGGCGCTTGAGAGTTACAAGTTAGCCAGGAAGGACCTAAAGAGAGAGCTAAGAAGAGCCAGGAGGGGACATGAGAAGTCTTTAGCAGGTGGGATCAAGGAAAACCCTAAAGCTTTCTATAGGTATGTCAGGAATAAAAGAATGACTAGAGTAAGATTGGGGCCGATCAAGGACAGTAGTGGGAAGTTGTGCGTGGAGTCCGAAGAGATAGGAGAGGTGCTAAATGAATATTTTTTGTCAGTATTCACACAGGAAAAAGACAATGTAGTCGAGGAGAATACTGAGATACAGTCTATTAGACTAGACGGGATTGAGGTTCATAAGGAGGAGGTGTTAGTAATTCTGGAAGGTGTGAAAATAGATAAGTCCCCTGGGCCGGATGGGATTTATCCTAGGATTCTCTGGGAAGCTAGAGAGGAGATTGCAGAGCCTTTGGCTTTGATCTTTATGTCGTCATTGTCTTCAGGAATAGTGCCAGAAGACTGGAGACTAGCAAATGTTGTCCCCTTGTTCAAGAAGGGGAGTAGAGACAACCCTGGTAATTATAAACCAGTGAGCCTTACTTCGGTTGTGGGTAAAGTGTTGGAAAGGATTATAAGAGATAGGATTTATAATCATCTAGAAAGGAATAATTTGATTAGGGATAGTCAACACGGTTTTGTGAAGGGTAGGTCGTGCCTCACGAACCTTATTGAGTTCTTTGAGAAGGTGACCAAACAGGTGGATGAGGGTAAAGCGGTTGATGTGGTGTATATGGATTTCAGTAAAGCGTTTGATAAGGTTCCCCATGGTAAGCTATTGCAGAAAATACGGAGGCATGGGATTGAGGGTGATTTAGCGGTTTGGATCAGAAATTGGCTGGCTGTAAGAAGACAGAGGGTGGTGGTTGATGGGAAATGTTCATCCTGGAGTTCAGTTACTAGTGGCGTACCTCGAGGATCTGTTTTGGGGCCACTGCTGTTTGTCATTTTTATAAATGACCTGGATGAGGGCGTAGAAGGATGGGTTAGTAAATTTGCGGATGACACCAAAGTTGGTGGAGTTGTGGATAGTGCGGAAGGATGTTGCAGGTTACAGAGGGACATAGAAAAGCTGCAGAGCTGGGCTGAGAGGTGGCAAATGGAGTTTAATGCGGAAAAGTGTGAGGTGATTCACTTTGGAAGGAGTAACAGGAATACAGAGTACTGGGCTAATGGTAAGATTCTTGGTAGTGTGGATGAGCAGAGAGATCTCGGTGTCCATGTGCATAGATCACTGAAAGTTGCCACCCAGGTTGATAGCGTTGTTAAGAAGGCGTACAGTATGTTAGGTTTTATTGGTAGAGGGATTGAGTTTCGGAGCCATGAGGTCATGATGCAGCTGTACAAAACTCTGGTGCGGCCGCACTTGGAGTATTGCGTACAGTTCTGGTCACCGCATTATAGGAAGGATGTGGAAGCATTGGAAAGGGTGCAGAGGAGATTTACCAGGATGTTGCCTGGTATGGAAGGAAGGTCTTATGAGGAAAGGCTGAGGGTCTTGAGGCTGTTTTCGTTAGAGAGAAGAAGGTTAAGAGGTGACTGAATAGAGACATACAAGATGATCAGAGGATTAGATAGGGTGGACAGTGGGAGCCTTTTTCCTCGGATGGTGATGGCTAGCACAAGGGGACATAGCTTTAAATTGAGGGGTGATAGATATAGGACAGATGTCAGAGGTAGGTTCTTTACTCAGAGAGTAGTAAGGGCGTGGAATGCCCTGCCTGCAAAAGTGGTGGACTCGCCAACTTTAAGGGCATTTAAATGGTCATTGGATAAACATATGGATGATAATGGAATAGTTTAGGTTAAATGGGCTTCAGATTGATTTCACAGGTCGGCGCAACATCGAGGGCCGAAGGGCCTGTACTGCGCTGTAATGTTTTATGTTCTATGTTCTATATACCTGGAGAGCTTGTGTAGCTTGACTATTATATTCATTTTGGCCTCCAAATTCATTATTGTACAGTCTCCTAGGCCAAATTTGGGGAGTTATGCTGTTTAATATAACTATTTGTAAATCTTACTGGTGTAGTATCATAAGTGTGAGATGGCAATTGGCCACATGAACAAGCGTAGTAAAGTCATTTTAATCATATCGAATTGCAGTTTGTTCATTGTTTTGTTCCCAAGATTTGAACTGCCAATTTTCTTTTTTAAACTCTGACTTAACTGGTATCAAGCATGAGCCAAATTTCAGAACAGATACTGGCAGGGGGCAAAAAAGCAAGCATATACATGTAGAGTTCTGATATACTTTGGACAAATATGGTTCAATGAGATTTTGAAAAATTTTAAATAGAGAGATTATTGCTTCTACCACTGAAGAACTATGGTGCAGTGTTCGTGTCATCAGATTAGCAAACCAGAGCGCCAAATAAATTAGCTGCGGACATGGGCTCAAATCCTACCATGTTAGCTGGTGAAATGTAATATAAAATTGGTATCAGTAATGGTGACTTTAAAACTGTCCTTGATTGTTGTTAAAAACCCATCTAGTTCACTGATATCCTCTAGGGAATAAAATCTGTCGTCCTTGCGTAATCTGGTCTATATATCATTGCAGTGCTGCTCAACTACTTTTTAGCTAGACTTGTAACTGTCTTTCAAAATAGCAAGCCACCCAGGTCAAGGGGAGTTAGAAATAGGCAACAAATGCCACCCTTGCCAGTAATGACCATACCTGTTCCAAGAATAAAGAAAATAAGCTTGGAGAGGCTCCACTGTACTGAATTATTTAAAAGATGGCATAGCAATTCAAATCATTTGTCTGTGAATGAAACATTAAATGTGTATTGAATAAATGTTCAAAATTACAGGATTTTTTAAGCTATCTTCTTTTCAAGAAAATTAGGACTCTGTTAATGAAATTAGTTTCAGCTTAGCAGACTTTGTATTGTTCTACTGTCACAGCTGACAAAGACTATGTTTCGTAAATTTTGCCAAGAAAGATCTTATAGCCACTGATGTTGCCAGTCCTAAAATACTTTTTTCCTCCTTACTTCTTTTTAAGGCCATAGTAAAGCTGTGCGAGATGTATGCTTTAACAATGATGGCACCCAGTTCCTTAGTGCTGCGTACGACCGATACCTTAAACTCTGGGACACCGAGACGGGTGAGTAAAAATACACTGCTCTGGTATTTGAAGCTTTTCAATTATCTATGAAGTTTACAATGTGTGATAATTGTATAAGATTCAGCCATGGCTCAATTTGTAGCAGTCTTGCCTCTGAGACAGAGTTTTGTGTTCACTTCCCACTGAAACAGAAAAATTAAGGATCGCTCTCCACTGCTTTGCTGAGTGAAGCAGCATCAGATTCACCATTGTTCAGGTAGTAAACCAAGGCCTTTGCCCCCTCTGGCTGTATCTTGACGAGCAGTGGGGTTGTTACCCTACAGTCTCTTGGCCAACACTGATCTCTCGATCAACGTCACGAGAACGGTTTATTTGATCATTATCACATTGCCCTTTCAGGCAGGTTTCTATATATGGATTAGCTGCTGCATTTCTTACATTGCGACAGTGACTACATTTCAAAAATTGTTTAGTGAAGACACCAAAGAACTTTCTCAAATTAGTTGGAAAAGGTCACATCTGCTCATGTGGGGACGTGGAGACCTCAATGGGCACCTAACCCAATAAGCTTCATGATGCTGTGCTGCTCTCCCAATAACACCAGTGCTAACTCATTCTTAATCTCCGAAAGCTTTTATTCCTCTTAGACAGCTGATTCCCTCACCCTGTTATGCAGGTCCTGGTGGCACCCAGTGAACCTCCAGTCAGATGAAGCCAGTTCCGGAGACCCTCACCTGCATCTCCCCCTCTGAAGAGGAAGCCACTGAGCCCTCAGAGGATGCACTGGCAAAGTTTTCACCTGCATTCTTTACCTGCTCAGAAACTTGTACTTTGGTGGGTACTCTGTCTAGATTACACTTGGGAGTACAATCTGGTGAGCACATCAATGACATATCTCTGTAGCTGTTCCATGAAGAAAGCCCTGGGCACCTGCCACTCAGAGTGTTGCTGTACCTGATTAAGTCTCAACCATGTGAGAAATGAGCATCTTCTTCAGACGTTGCAATGGCCAAGCATTGTTCATTTCTCACAAGTAACTGACTGCTTGACTGCAGGTAGGCTCAGAGATCAGGAATCCTCGAAGTGCAATGTAAATGACTGCAGCCAAGGTGTGCACTTTAATTTGGACAACACTTAGGCTACGCACAGTGTGCAGTGTGCACATCATTCCATACTTGCACCCGCCTTGTGAGTCAGATATAGAATCTGTGACATTCAGGGTTGGGAAGTGTACAGTAAACAGTTCGCGTGTTCACTCTCTGTCATAGCACAATGGTCTGCTGAAAAAAGCAGCGGTTCACTGTTTCCCAGGGTGACGGGGTCAATTACTAGGGGACACAGGTTCAAGGTACGAAGGGGGAAGTTTAAAAGAGATGTGCGAGGCAAGTTTTCCCACACAAAGGGTGGTGGGTGCCTGGAATGCATTGGCAGAGGAGGTGCTGCAGCAGTCACAATAGCAGCATTCAGAAGCACCTGGATGAACACATGAATTGAAAGGGAGTAGAGGGATACGGACCATGCAAGTGAAGACCGTTTTAGTATGGAAGAGTAAAATGTAGCAGCGCAGGCTTGGAGGGCTGAAGGGCCTGTTCCTGTGCTGTACTATTCTTTATTCTTCTTTTGTTCTGTCAACTTGATACTCGGGTGTTTCAAAGAAACTTGGCTGTCTCCCTGCACACTGAAACTTAAAGGCTTCCTGATGGTAGAAGGGTTAAAGGAATGTGTGAATTGGTCTGAGAGCAGTGATGTGATGAGGGCTGGTCGCTTGCCAATGCTAACTTGCAAGAATGAGTTGTCAAGGAGTGTAGTGGCCCTGGAACATGCAGGGAGATGGTTTTGAAGAATGGTGATGGCCAAGACTGCAAATAGTATATTCATTAAAAGAGGATTTGAGTTCAGAAGTAAGGATGCCTTACTGCAGTTTGCAGAACCTTGGTGAGATCACACTGGGAGTTTGTATGTAGTTTTGGTCTCCTTACCTGATAGAGCAAAGGCTTGCTATAGAGGGAGTGCATTGGAGGTTCACTAGGCTGATAACAGGGATGATAGGACTGTCCTATGATGTGAGATTGGTTTGACTGGGCCTGTAATCACTAGAGTTTAGAAGGATGAAAGGAGTCTTGATTGAAACCTATAAACTTCTAACAGGGCTGAACAGATTGGATTGAGGGAGGATGTTTTCCCTGGTTGGGAAATCTACACCGAGGTGACACAATTTCAGGATATGGTGTAGACCATTAGGACTGAGATGAGGAAATCTTTGTGCTCAAACCATAGTGAACCTGTGGAATTCTCTGCCACAGAAGACTGTGGAGGCCAAGTCACTGAATATATTCAAGAAAGAGATGGATGCATTTTTAGATTTTGAAGGCTTTAAGGGGTATGGAGAGAAAGTGGCAATATGATATTGAGTTACAGGATCAGCAATCATCACAATGAACGGCAGAGCAGGCACAGAGAACTGAATGGCCTACTGCTGCACCTCTAGTCTCTTGTTTCTATCTTACTGTGGGACCAGCAGTAGCAGAACTTAGGTATCTGCTCTGATTTCCACATCAGGAATTTTTGCCTTCTAGTTTTGCACAGAATGAGAGGAGATTTGGAAATTGCATGTAAATAAGATGAGTAGAGCATTAATGAGATGCAAATGCATGGAAATAAATTAGTTGTTGCTCAATGGTGAGATTCTAAAGCCGCATTTACGACTTGAGGGGAAAATTGCAAAGCATTGTTCATCGTTGAGATTCCCATCTTTTTCATTCTCTCAAAACAGTATTTTCCCATCCTTGTTCCCATTGCAGACACCATGCCAGGGTATTCTGGATGTTGGGATTATTTCCAAGTCACGAAATTGCTGCAGCAGTGGGATTGTCAGTATTAACTTCCAGATGGCATTCAATTAAGAAGGCACATTTTAATTCTGTCCAGTTAGGGCTTCATGGTGGGTTGAGAAGACAGGAGGGCTACTCAATGAATGTGATTGAAAAGGCAAATGTGAGAGTGTTTCTGCAGTAAATCAGGCAAGACGAAATGGAGGCACAAAACAGCAGAAGGAAACCTCAACCACTTCTTTCACTATCCGTGAAATCCAGCCCCAGGAAATGATCTGTAATTGCAAATCTCTGCCTGTGGGTGACCTCGGACTTGCTGATTTGCACTTTACATGCACATTGCATATTATTTCCATGGCACTTGATCTCCCATTATGCATTGCCTGCTTATGAGCTGACATTTCATGGATCCTGGATGCTGTTGGTAAAATTTCATTACCTTCAGAAAATCTCTGTTAATTGTTGCTTCATTAACTCTTATTAATTTGCTTCCTGTTCAACATTTTTTATAACTTTCTTTGTGTCTCATACTACCAAATTTCCCTCCAGTGCCTGATAAAATCACCCTGTTCAGTACAGTTCAAATTAGCTTTAAAACAAATCATGAAACTGTGATCTTCCCCTCCCAAGAACTTGATGAATGAGGAAGATAATTGGGTGGTTTGACATCAGGGTGGAAAGAAGTATCTTGATTTTCCCCATGCCATTTAAGGCACATCCCTGGTTAATTAATGACTTCAAACTTCATGGTTGCACTAACTGATACAAAGCATGATCTCAAAATAGAAATGTTGCAGCAGAATTCTAGTTCTCACACGTGTTCTCGGGATTACGAGTGGAGGTTTTTGGACTCCATTTAACACAGCTTGTTGCTGCGGAAAGGCTGCCAACATCATCAAAGACCCGTCGCACCCTGATAATGCTCTCGTAAGACCTCTTCCATCAAGCAGAAGATATAGAAGCTTGAACGCAGGTTCAGAAACAGCTTCTTCCCGACTATTACTAGACTGATGAATGGATCCTCTAACTTCAAATAATGCTGATCTTGCTAATGTTGATCTTGCCTAGCACATGCCCTGTGCAATGTACCCTGTATGCCTCTGTCTAATTATTTTTTCTACCATGTGATCTGTATGTCCTTGCTCTGTATGATCTGCCTGTACTGCTCGTAAACAAAGCTTTTCACTCTACTTAGGTACATGTGGCAATAAATACACCAAATTAATTAATTGAATTATTTGCTCAAACCTATACCCTTTTGGGATCAGAATGAATAAATTTGGGCCATATAATAATTATTTGTAATGATGGACCACCTATCCAGACAGTTTTATATTGAAATAATTTCCTCTTTGATTCACAGTATATTGTTTGCAAATTTTTGATCTAAGAATTCTGTGAAAATATGAATTAATCTTTTCAGTTTTTTTTATTGATTGATGGGATGTAACGTCGCTGGCAGGACCAGCATTTATTGCCAGTTCCTAATTGTTAAGAGTCAGTCATATTGCTGTGCGTGTGGAGTCACATGTAGGCTGGACCAAGTAGGATTGCAGTTTCCCTCCCTAAAGGACATTAGTAAATGATTTTTCTCCCCCCTGGCAATCAACAATGGTTTCCCATTGCACACTTAATTCCAGACTTTTTTTTTACTGCATTCAGATTCCACCATCTGCCATAGCAGGATTCAAGCCTGCTTCCCCAGAATATTACCTGGGTCTCTGGATTAATAAAATTGAGATAATGCCATTAGGCCATCGCCTTCCCTTAGATTTTATTTGTTGTTCCTTCTTCCCCTGTGCCAGTAAATGCTTACATAAGGAAAAGCAACTTGACTCAAATGGCTGAATCATGCTCCTGCTTTGAGGTTTGTAAGTGCACCATCAAATTCCTCTGCCAGTCTCTCATTACCCCACCCCCACACCAATCACACTCTGCTGCTCAGTGATTTCGCGGCAGTGACAGCTAAATTAAAAAAAAATCACTTATATAAAAATACTCATTGTGTAATTAATTACATAGCAGTATGTCTGGAAAATATTGTTCTTCAGTTTGTAATGCTGTGCAGTATTTTAAGCCTTATCTTATACTTTTTGTATTGTCTCTTTTTGCCTTCAGGGAAATGCACGGCTAAGTTTTCTAATCGAAAAGTTCCATACTGTGTGAAGTTCAATCCTGATGAAGACAAGCAGCATCTCTTTGTGGCTGGTATGTCAGATAAGAAAATTGTCCAGGTGAGATTTGCACTTTATGTCCCATTGTTTTTTTACATTCTGTTGTATTAATGGCTTCTTACTACTCACTCAAACTTATGGAAATAATTAAAACAGTGTGAGAAGTAGTGCAATGGTAATGTCTGTACCCCTGAGCCAAGTGTCCCAGATTCAAGTCCCACCTGCTCCAGAAGAGTGTAATAACATCTCTGAACAGGATGATTGAAGTATACCTATAATTAAATATTTTTCCATATTTGTATTTCAAATAACGGTATTTAAAAAAAAATACAGGCCCAGTGTCCCAATTTCTCTTCATACAACAAACCTGCCATCCCAGGAATCAGTCTGGTAAATACTTCTTTCCTTAAGGAAGGGAACCAAAAATATACACAGTGCTCCAGGTGTGGTCTCACCAAGGCCTGTATAGTTGCAGTAAGACATCTTTGAGTACAGGAGCAAACACTTTTGCAATGAAGACCTTGATTGGTCAAGTACTGTCAAAAAGAAGGACTGCAGAGTTTCTTTAGATATATATAAAGGGCAAAAGAGAGGGAAAAGTGGACATTGGACTGCTGGAAAATGACACTGGAGAGATGACTGGGTGGCACAGTGACACTGGTTAGCACCGCTGCTCACAGCACCAGGGACCCGAGTTTGATTTCACCCTCGGGCAACTGTCTGTGTGGAGTTTGCACATTCTCCCCACGTCTGCATGGGTTTCCTCCGGGTGCTCTAGTTTCCTCCCACAGTCCAAAGATGTACAGGCTAGGTGAATTGGCCATGCTAAATTGCCCATAGTGTTCAGGGATATGTAGATTAGGGGTATGGGTCTGGGTGGGATGCTCTGAGGGTCGGTGTGGACTTGTTGGGCCAAAGGGCCTGTTTCCACACTGTAGGGATTCTATGATTCAGATATTAGTGTGGAACAAGGAAATGGCTGAGGAGCTGAATAATTACTTTGCGTCAGTCTTCACAGTGGAAGACACAAGTAATATCTCAAAAATTCGAGTGTGTCGGGGCAGAGCTGAATATGGTGGCCAACACCAAGGAGAAGGTGCTAGAAAAACTGAATGGCCTGAAGGTGGATAAATTACCTGGACCAGATGGACTACTTCCCAGAATCTTAAGGAGATAGCTAAAGAGATAGTGAAGGCATTAGGGGTGATCTTTCAGGAATTGCTAGAGTCAGGGAGGGTCCCAGAGGACTGGAAAATCGCTAACATGACACACCTGTTTAAAAAAGGAGTAAGGCAAAAGACTGAAAATTACAGGCCGATTTACAACTCCATTACAACCTCCATTGTGGGTAAGATTTTGGAGTCTGTTACGAAGGATGAGATTTCTGAATACTTGGAAGTGTATGGTAAAATACGGCAAATTCAGCATGGCTTCGTCAAGGGGAGGTCACGCCTGACAAATCTGTTAGAATTCTTTGAGGAAGTAATGAGCAGGTTAGGCCAAGGAGAGTCCATACATGTTAGCTACCTGGACTTCCAGAACACCTTTGACGAGGTGCTGCACAGAAGGCTGTAGAGTAACATAAGGGTCCCTAGTGCTAGAGGCAAGGTGCTAGTATGGATAGAAGATTTGCTCTCTGGCAGAAAGCAGAGAGTGGAGTTAAAAGGGTCTATGTTGTGATGGCAGCTGGTGACTAGTGGTGTTCCACAAGGGTCAGTGTTGGGACCACAACTTTTCACTTTATACATTAATGATCTCGTTGAAGGAACTATGGGCATTCTGGCTAATTTTGCAGACGATACAAAGATAGGTAGAGGGATAGGTAGTATTGAGGAGGTGGGGAGACTGCAGAGTGAGAGTGGACAAAGAAGTGGCAGATGGAGTACAACGTGGGAAAGTGTGAGTTCATGCACTTTGGTAAGAAGAATAAAAGCATGGACTATTTTCTAAATGGAGAGAAAATTCAGAAGTCTGAAGTGTAAAGAGACTTGGATGTTCTAGTCCATGATTCTCTCAAGGTAAACTTGCAGGTTGAGTCAGTAGTTAGGAAGGCAAATGCAGCTTTGGCATATATTTTGAGAGGACTTGGAATAGCAAAAGATATACTTCTGAGGCTCTGCACAGTTTTGGGCCCCATATCTCAGGAAAGATGTACTGGCCCTGGAGTGGGTTCAGAGGAGGTTCACGAATGGTCCCAGGAATGAAAAGCTTAACATATGAGGAACGTTTGAGGACTCTGGGTCTAAACTCGATGGAGTTTAGAAGGATGAGGAGGGATCTAATTGAAACTTACAGAATACTGAATGGCCTGGACAGAGTGTATGTTTGGAAGATGTTTCCATTGGTAGGAGAGACTAGGACCGGAGGGCGCAGCCTTAGAGTAAAGGGAAGTCCTTTTAGAACGGCGATAAGGAGAAACTTCTTCAGCCAGAGCGTGGTGAATCTATGGAATTCACTGCCACAGAAGGCTGTGGAGGCCAGGTCATTGAGTATATTTAAGACAATAGGTTCTTGATTGTCAAGGGGATTAAGAGTTATGGGGAGAAAGCGGGAGTATGGGGTTGAGAAACTTATCAGCCATGATTGAATGGCAGAGTAAACTTGATGGGCTGAATGGCCTAATTTCTGCTCTTATGTATTATGGTCTTAAATAAAAACAGGAAATGCTGGAGAAACTCAACAGATCTAGCAATATCTGTAGAGAGAGAAATAGTTAACATTTCAAGTCCAACATGACTTGTTCAGAGCTGCTAAGAGTCAAACAACTTGGTGGAAACGTGGCCTGGAAGATGGTAGCGGGGACATTGTGACTGAAGGAGGTGCTGGGAGTTGTAATTGTAGAAAATCTGATTGGGGAAAGAATGAGGCGTGGCTTCACAGGGAAGACTGAGCTCCAAGGTATACTGGAGGTGCAGCCTTGTTGGAGCAGATTCAAGAAGAGTAAACATGTCCTGCAGCCACAGCAGGGAAGGTCAAAAGAAGGTTAGCAGTACCAGGAACAAAGCCCTAAGGAGTGGAATGCACTGCTGCAAGTCTTTCAGTGACCTAAAACATGTGGTTAAATCAAACCATCTTTTGACCCTGAAAGGTGCTCAGTCTATCTCCAATTACCCTGGAACGAAGAAGGTGCCTCAAAAATTTGAACAACTGCTGTAACTAGCTGTCTGACACTGCTATTTTGTAACAAACGTAGGAATGGTATTTTCCGCTAACAGGATGTTGTTGTCAAGCTAAAATACAATTATCTCGCACCGCAAATGAGTAATATGACATTTAATGAAGTGTGGCATCAAGTAGCTCGAGGAAAACACAACTCAAGGGGAATCGGAGGTAAAACTCGCCACTGGTTGGAGTCATACCAGGCACAAAGGAAAATAGTTGTAGAGGTCAGAATGATCTCTGCGGGAGATCCTCAGGGTAGTGGGATTCGAGGCCCAATCATCTTCAACATAAAGTTAGAAGTCAGAACATTCTCTGATGATTGCACAATATTCAATACCATTTGTAATTCCTCAGGAACTGAAGCAATCCATGGCCAAATGAAGCAAAACCTGAACAAGATTTCGGTTTTGATTGACAGGTGGCAACTGATATTCATGCGACACAAGTGCCAGGCAATGACCATCTCCAACAAGAGACAATCTGACCATCATGGCTACAAGAGCCGGTCAGAGGCTGGGAATCCTGCAGCAAGATCTCAGCACCCCAAGGCCTTCTACCCTCCCTCGACCTCTTCATCTCCAACTGCCGTTGAGACATCAATCACCTCAACCTCTCCACCCCTCTCACCCACTCCAACCTCTCCCCCGCAGAACGTGCAGCCCTCCGCTCCAATCCCGACCTCACCAGAAAACCCACGGACAAGGGAGGTGCAGTTGTAGTATGGCGCACTGACCTCTACATCGCCGAGGCCAGACGCCAACTCTCCGACACCTCCTTCTACCGCCCCCTTGATCATGACCCCACCCCTGAGCACCAAACCATCATCTCCCAAACCATCCACAACCTCATCACCTCAGGTGACCTCCCACCCACGGCCTCCAACCTCATCGTTCCACAACCTCGCACCGCCCGCTTCTATCTCCTTCCCAAAATCCACAAACCTGAATGCCCTGGTCGACCCATTGTCTCCGCCTGCTCCTGCCCCACCGAACTGATCTCCAACTATCTGGACTCCATTTTCTCCCCCTTGGTCCAGGAACTCCCAACCTATGTCCGTAACACCACCCACGCCCTCCACCTCCTCCAGAACTTCCAACTCCCCGGTCCCCAACACCTCATCTTTATCATGGACGTCCAGTCCCTCTACACCTGCATTCCCCATACAGATGGCCTAAAGGCCCTCCGCTTCTTCCTGTCCCGCAGGCCCGACCAGTCCCCCTCCACTGACACCCTCATCCGCTTAGCCGAACTCGCCCTCACCCTCAACAACTTCTCTTTCAATTCCTCCCACTTCCTACAGACAAAGGGGGTGGCCATGGGTACCCGTATGGGCCCAAGCTACGCCTGCCTCTTTGTAAGATACATGGAACAATCCCTCTTCCGTACCTACACTGGCCCTAAACCCCACCTCTTCCTCCGTTACATTGATGACTATATCGGCGCCGCCTCGTGCTCCCACGAGGAGCTCGAACAGTTCATCCACTTCACCAACACCTTCCACCCCAACCTTAAGTTTACCTGGACCATCTCTAATACCTCTCTCCCCTTCCTGGACCTCTCTGTCTCCATCTCGGGCAACCACCTAGAAACCGATATTCATTTCAAGCCCACCGACTCCCACAGCTACCTAGAATACACCTCCTCCCGCCCACCTTCCTGCAAAAATGCTATCCCCTATTCCCAATTCCTTCGCCTCCGCCGCATCTGCTCCCAGGATGAGGCATTCCACTCCCGTACATCTCAGTTGTCCTCGTTTTTCAAGGACCGTAACTTCCCCCCCTCAGTGGTCGAGAACGCCCTCAACCGTATCTCCCGCAACTCATCCCTCACACCCCGTCCACGCAATAAGAACCAAAAAAGAATCCCCCTCGTCCTCATGTACCACCCCACCAACCTCC